AACTATACCTGAATGAATTTCCCCGAATTTGACCTTTACAAGTTGCAAGAGCATGATATATATATGTTTTCGGTTACGCACGAACTTAGTCCCTCCTAACATGTTATTAAAATAAAGGAATTTCCAATTGGCGAGGTTCGGGTTTTACGGACGTTTATATGTATCTGTTGGATATTTTTTGGCGGACGGTGTCACTGAAGAAAACTATTTCAAAAAAAAACTTGAATGCCTGTTTTATTCTACTGGTTTTTCTACTCAACTAGCCTTTATCGAAACAACCATGCATATGATATTTTATATCAAGATCGCTTTCATTAATATTTATAACAAGTTAATCAAGTGAAAGCTGTCTATCTTCAAGATTTTATGGAATGGTAAAATTTCTGGAAATTCCTAGCTGATGGCTGCCGAATTCTTTCAAGTATGTGCATATAAATGATTTTGGCTATCGTGATGAAACTTGAAACGCCTGTTCTCTGACACACTGAAAATGTTGGAAATGTAGATGGGCGGAATCGGCTTTTTCCACAGTCAAAAAGTTCCGTTAAGGTTAAATTATAAAAGCTCCTATATATGATATGTACTATAACTATAAAATAATGTTCGGTATTCTAGCAGACTTTATGTTGAATATATGATTTGATGTGTGAGTTATCTCCATAAAACATTATCTCGTGAAAACATGTTCTCGAGTATACTGTTATGTCAAAAGTTAACGCAATCAGTCCAGATCTTCCAAATATACCAGATATAAAGTTCAATTCATATTCATTCCACATATGTTAGTGAAGTTAATTGAATATGTCTTCTTAAACATAGTGAAGTTTAACGCTGAATATGGATCAAAACAGTCTAAACCTTGATCTGAACTTTATATACGTATCTCTAATATACTCTGACATTTTTCTCATAAAGCACTGGTAAACACTGTTTTTAGTGTACCCTCATTAACAATATATAATAATTTTGTTTCAATCATATCTATTGTTTTTTTTTGTTACAGCTACATATTTTGGGGATGTAGAGCAGCTTAGCCTCTGCGCGGTGCATCGTGCCAGTAGCCAATGTGGAGGAAGTATGGATGGGAGCAAGACTCGAGGCGGTGGCCAAATCGGATTTCGCGATGCGACCTCGTGCCCATGTCTGGCTTCCAGCCGAACGATCCACCCCGGTAAAAATCGAGGAGATGTTGCGTAGTTGCTTTCCTTCTCTACCCCCCAAGACTGGAAGGCGATTAGGCTGGGGAGGACAAAAGAGCAATATCGGCAAGCGCTGATACTCCTAAACAAGGAGTTCATCTCAGTGTCACAAAGGGGGTCATAAGCTATGCGGTTCGTCACTTGATGAATTCGTCTTCAGTCTGAAGTGAATGTTCGTAGAGGATCGGGTCGATAATGACGAAAGTGTGGAACTCGCACTGCTGGAGAAGAGTTTGAAGTATGAAGATCCTTCAAATTAATATCCAGCAGGCAAAGGCGGCCTTCGCCGATCTTTTGCTTCGTATAGGAAAGGACGAAGCCGACGTTACCTCTTTATAAGAGCCATGACTAAGCAACAACGGCATCTCTGAATTAAGGTCAAAGAGCCACAAACTCTAAGCGTCCAGTAATACAGGTAGAATCTGCCACCTCTTTAAAGCGTTCTAATATAGTAATCGCACTCGCAAAGCTAGACGTACCGCGAATTAATCTCATAATATGTCCATTAGCCATATCACCAGACATCCGTGTATAGTATTTACGGTATATAACCTATGTACGTATATCTACTGTTAATTTAAATATGCATATAGAGGTGAATCTTTAATGTCCTATTAGGTGATATCAAGTAATTATATACAGCTAGAACACGCTAATATGTTGAAAATGTTTAGCATATAGCATAACAGTAGTCATATAGCATAACAGTAATTGTCAGGAGGGATTAAGCATGAAGAATCGTACAAGATAATGATTGAATAATAGACGAGCTCACACAATAACTATTAACACATGAGAATATAAGATGATGACCTAAACGATTCGTATGGAGGAGAAGGAAGCTCATATTATAGGTTTAAGGGGAGACAAAGTGATAGTGTGCTATAGAATACTCAAAGAAGAAGAAGACACATTAGGATGGGCGCAATTATGTCTCGATTAAGCACTTTGCGAANTCTAGGCCAAAATATATTTATATTTCACCAGTTTGGAAGCTACTACTGATTTATAGAGTTTCACTGATAATGCAATTAGAATTAATAATAATAATATTAAATAAATAAGGAAGTGCTGAATTCGGATGCAGCCGAATACCAGTTGAATTTCCAACTTGTACGAATTACAGGCTGAAGAAATCTTTGCATGTGTCTTTTTGTTTGATGGCAGGATCCTTTAAAGTTTTTATTGCCAAAAACTTGAAAGCCTCACAAAAATTACGAAGTAGTGTTACGGAGAGAGGCATTGAAAACTAGATCTGATTGGAGATATAGGTTTCTCCCCAGGTCAATTGTGTCTGAACAATTTTTTCTGTTAAACAGATTCGAATTTTAGCCAAACGTTTTTTACTCCACGCAACGCTGGAAACTTTTTATCGGAGATAATAGACTAACATATTTTTACCTTGATCTACAGTAACAGAAAATGTAATATGTACCAATATGTGTGAAATTCAGCTTAACTTTATGAAGTTCAGTTAGCATAAATCTTTGCAAACATTCCTGGGTCAAATGTATCAGGTTAAAAGGAGGGTGCATTGAGAATTATTTTGCCATTTTTTTAAATTATTGTGTTTTGCTTTTTTTATACTAAATATATATATCGGTTCGCCCACGCCATAAGTTCATTCTCAAGATACAAAGTTCAAAAAATATGCACGAAGCGAGTCGATACAATTTTATGTTTAGTGTAATATTAGGTAAAGTAAAAAGTTCGTTCTGTTTTTTATTGATTTTTCAAAAGATGATAACTTTGTGTACATTTATCCGATTTAAGATCGATAAGCGATCAAATATGCGCCGTTTTGTTCGTAAACTTTTTGCCACCGAGATGCCAACTTCATTATACCTCTCTCGTAGAAGACTGCGTCCCTACTACCAAAAACTCCGAGAGCCAATTTTTACAGGCCTCTCTTGAGGCCAACTTCTCACCATTAAGCGCGTTCGCCATGGACAGGAAAAATTGGTAATCACTTGGTGCCAGGTCCGGACTATAAGGTGGGTGCATTATAACCTCCCATCCGAGCTCCAGGAGCTTCTGGCGAGTCACCAAAAACGTGTGTGGCCTGGCGTTGTCCTGATGAAACACAATTCGGCCTCTGTTGATCAGAGATGGCCTCTTCTGGATGAGTGCTGCCTTCAAGCGGTCCAGTTGTTGGCAGTAGAGGGCCGAATTGAGCGTTTGGCCATAGGGGAGCAGCTCGCAGTAGATGATTCCTTGCCAATCCTACCAAACACACAGCAAAACCTTCCTGGCCGTCAATAAGGTCTTGGTCACCATCTGGGCCGCTTCCCCGATTTTGACCACGACCGTTTGTGCTCGATGTTGTCATAAGTGACTCATTTTTCATCGCCAGTCACAATCCGCTTCAGAAACGGGTCGATTTTGTTGCGATTCTGCAGCGATTTGCAGATGGAAATTCGGTCCATCATGTTTTTTGCGTTAGTTCGTATGACACCCAAAAATCGAACTCCATTTTGAATCCAAGGTTATGCAAATGGTTCCAAACGGTTATCTCGCTTATCTTTAGTTCCTCAGCAATTAAATAAGTGCTCACGTGACGGTCTGTTTCCACTATTTTCATGATTTTATCGCAATTTTCAACGACAGGCCTTCCGACGCGTGGTGCATCTTTGACATCGAAATTACCGGAACGGAACCTAGCAAATCACTTTTGTGCTACCCGTTCGTTTACAGTATCGGGCCCATAAACTAAATTAATGTTTTCAGCCGCTTTGGCTGCTTTGTCGCTTTAATCGAAGAAAAATTGTAAAATATAGCGAATTTTCTATTTGTTGGTGTCCATCTTTGACGAGCGCTCACAACGAACTGAGTAAATCAATCGAAAAACTGTCAAAGACAAACTTTTAGCGCGAATAAACACGACGTCAGCATCGTATAGTATGACATGATGCGACACGTCACACTAGTACTATGGACAATAACGCCATCTCTTAGATAAAAAACGAACGAACTTTTTACTTTACCTAATATTATGAAGTAACCATAAAATGGTGGTAAATCGCCGAATTCTTCTCAGATTTTGATACTTCAACGCACATTTACGCAAGAGAAAATTACACAGATTAAATCATTAAACCCGATTCCTGAAAACACAAAAAATTTTATTTCACTGAAAAGTGTTCGTAATTGCTGCTGTTTTCAATAAAATCTTTTAACTCATAAGTAAAAAAGGTTCTAATTTAAGTTACATGCTGGCAGTTGAGAGGTTAAACATTATCAGACAACGTGGGCCGATTCTGAATCCACAAACTCTTCAGCTGCGTTGTATAAGTAATTTTGAAAAGCACATATAGAGCGATCCACCAGACTTCGTTCATACAGATAAGTAAGTTTTACATTTACTGGATATTCAGCTCATATTCATAAAAGAGTCGGTATAGATATTGTTAAGCTTTTCACGGGAGGCTAACAGATTATAATAGCGTACTTTTTTGAACACTTACCCACACATTCTGTTTTACCATTAATCTTTTCAAAACTTGGCAAATACTTATATTTTATCCTCATTGTCCAAAACTAGTCTTTCTAAATCCTAATCTAACTCGGCTTCTCGGGAGCCGATTGAGGTTTCAAAATAAATATAATATAAACGACCAAAAGCTACTGACCCCCTGAGTATCCTATTCCTTCTGAATAAACAAAGTGCTCGAGCACAAGCTCCAATGTATATTATTTAAAACACTTGAATAAAACTTGTAGACACCGGTAATCTAAAAAATTTAGAGCACTTGTCTAATTAGCTTCGAGTGATTATCAGAAAAAGATATGACACAGGTATGGACTATATAAGAGGCGAGCTGCAAAACTTATGACACAGTTGTATATCATCAGTGGGTGGTATACGCCATTAACAAAAAAGCTAACGGTAAGAAGGCTCTAACGGTTGCATTATTTCTATTACATACTCTCAACAGTTTGATATTCTAACATTTATTTTTTAACTTTTCTTCTTAACAGCAAAATGTTCAAGTTCTTCGTATTCTTCACCATTTGCGCCGCCTTGGCCTCGGCCAACATGGTGCGCGTGCCCATTTACAAGAACTCCAACTACCGTAAGACACCCCAATCCGTAAAAACCGAAACGGCTTACTTGCGCGGTAAATACAATGTTGCCGGTTTCCGTGCCACTGAGCAATTGGATAACGAGTTGAACATGGAATACTACGGCAAGATCACCATTGGTACACCACCACAGGAATTCTTAGTACTCTTCGATTCTGGTTCCTCAAATTTGTGGGTGCCATCAGCATCCTGCCCTTACAGCAATGTGGCCTGCCAGATCCACAACAGATATAACTCCAGCGCTTCCAGCACTTATGTAGCCAATGGTGAATACTTCTCCATCCAATACGGTTCCGGTAGTTTGTCTGGTTTCTTGTCACAGGATACCGTCAGTGTAGCTGGACTAACCATTAGCAATCAAGTTTTCGCTGAAGCTATGTTAGAACCTGGTACCAGCTTCGTTTACTCAAATTTCGATGGCTTAATGGGTATGGCTTTCCAACAAATTTCTAATGACAACGTAGTGCCACCATTCTACAACATGTGGTCTCAGGGTTTGATAAGCGAGAATTTGTTCTCCTTCTATTTGGGACGTGCTGGATCCTCGTCTCAAGGTGGTGAAATGATTTTGGGTGGTTCTGATTCAGCCTCACCAAGGTAGTCTCACTATGTGCCCATCTCTGAACAAGGTTACTGGCAATTCGCAATGGATGGCGGTAGCATTGGTGGTCTTGTCTTGTGCGACGGTTGGTGCCAGCCATCGCCGATACTGGCACTCTCTATTGTTGCTCCATACTACGGTTATGTCGTATACATGAGCATCGTAGATCCCGATGGTGATGGTTTAATTGATTGTTCAGCCGTCCCTTCCTTCCGATTTGGAATTGGTCATTGGCGTACGACCTTCACCGTTCCAGCTTCGCATACGTTATCGAATCTGAGGGACAATGCTCACCTGCCATTAGCTACATGGGTCTGACTTCTGGATCTTGGGTGATATCTTTATTGGCATGTACTACACGAATTCGATATGGCAATAACCGTATGGCTTTGCTCCAGTCGCATAAGTATTTTCGAAAAATTGGAAAATTGTTGTTGATAAATTGAGATGTAATATTGAATGAGAAAAAAGTTTTTTATATGGAATCACAATCACATCTACAGCATGCTATAGCGTTTGCAATTTATTCTTTCCAAAATATTGGGAAGATCACACCGACAGCAAAACTCAGTGAACTCGAATATATATTACTTCGTCTAAACAAGTTGAAGCCTCAAATAAGTTATTTTAAAGTCTGCCGTTATACACCCAGCTCATGGTTAATAGTATCAAAGTATAGTATTAGAAAGGACTTCCGAAAACATTAGAGGTTTTACTATTTAACCACATATCATTTTGATGGTTTTCCCAGCATTTGCTAGTATATTACCGACCTCTGTACGATGCTTACAAATCTCATTTTTGTTTTACGAAATATCATAGATAAATCTGGCAGATCGCAGTCTTCAAGCAATTACTTAAGATATGTGAGATATACATACCATATTTTGTGAAACGCTATTCAACTGAATGTGAGAACATCATAATTACCCATATAGTTTGATTTCGCTGATCTACAACATGATGCCAGGAATATGAGTACCAAGTTTCATTAAGATATTTTGAATTGTTAAATAGAATAGAATGAATATGAGGTTTGTACTGCGACCAGGGTCTATTGTGCACTCACCTCTATCACTGCTTTCCCAAAGTCCCAGCACCTTGAAAAACTCCAACAACTTGCTGGTGCTATTGAGGCAATGTGGTCCTGTTCACATAGGTGAAGCACGGCCTTGAGCCTGCGCTACAATTACGGGGCAATCTAGAATCAGGTGTTCTGGTGTTTCCGGCCCATGTCGCAGAATCGGCAGTAGCCAAAGAAGCCATGTCCATATTTGACAGGTGTTTTTGAGCCTACAGTGCCCAGTGTAGAGTGGACTAGGAGTCGGAGTTTGTCTCTGGGAGGTTTATCATTATTCCGAACCTGGCTAGGTTGAACGCTCCCAGTAGCAGTTTAGCATGGACATCCTGCAGCCTGTTGCCATGACTGTCTTTGTTCGCTCCTCCTCCGTACGGAGAGCTCCTTTATTTGATTGTACTGCAAGTTATTGCTTGCAGGGACAGACGAACGGATGAAGGGAGCGGCGGATGTACGGACAGGCAGGTTACTCGGAATTCATGTCACCTTGATTTTATATACGTATATAGTTATATACTAGCATATCACTCGTTTTGCTATCCCACTTGGAGGAAGAGGGCTCCATAAAAACAAAGAGATATAATATGAACATTGGACTTTTAGACTTATTTATTGTACTTGGGGGAATAGCACCCCATACAGATAATGAGATATGAAGATTGAACTTTTAGTATTATTTATATTCTATTCCGTACACGACCGTTTTATAGGGAGCTAACTCCTCGAGTGCACCATGCAGCACTTTATTCCTTGACTTTAACTCCGCTTCCGTGCCCCAATGACTCCAATTCGCATATTTTAATGTGCAGCATAGCCGAGCGGCTCTTCTAATACTTACAATTAATAGTAATTTCCGAATGGAATTAAAGTAAAGTATCAACAAGTTTATAAAGGTATCGGATCTTAAATACGAAGTAATTTAATTTGATAAGCATTAATGCTAAGGTTCAAAAATGAGCTTTTACTTAAAAGGCACTTACTGTGACGTAACTATAACAATTAGATATATGTTGTCCCGTCAGTTGTTGTAGATAGTTATATAATATGTTCTGCAAAGTCGTAGTACATTCTTTTAATAAATAATATTCGCAGCACACCCGATGTACGACATTTTTATGGAGATTTTTCACACTTTGGGTTACAATTTTAACGTTTTAGTAAACATCCCTGACTTTTATATTAGTATGGATAAATCTATATCCTTCTCGATTATTTTAATCTGTTCCAGACAACCATTTGGTGAAGAAAATGATAATACTTTCTGTTGCAACATGTTGGAAGAGTATATTGTAAGTATAGCAAAACCGACTGTGACTGTATCGCGAACAAGAGACAAGTAGATAATGACTTCAAAGCACTGACCTGCACCGAGCAAAGAAAATATAATATATATAAAAGTTTTTCTTAGTTAACTGATTGAGCGGTAGTCAGAGACTTAACAAAATTATTATGTTGGTCATGTAACCCTATTTATTAGGAAATATAGTACTGATTCATAAAGAGCTAATTACTCAAGGCCGACCAATTTTGGGTTTCTAATAAAAAAAAGCAATTACTAGAATAACAATTGTTTGACTTTCACCGCTTATTTTAAGGCTCTTTACAGTGAGTCTTATCATTTGCACATACGCACGAACTTAGTCCTTTCTTACTTGATATTAAAATAAAGGGGTTTCCAATTCACCAATTTCGGGTTTAACGGACGTATATATGTATCTGTTGGATATTTTTTGGCGGACGATGTCACCGATGCTAACTATTTCAAAAATAAGGGCCCAATATGAAATAAAGCAGACATATTTTAAAACTTGAATGCCTGTTTTATTCTACTTGTATTTCAACTCAACTCGCCCTTATTTAAACAACCATGCATATGATATTTTATATCAAGATCGCTTTCATTAATATTTATAACAAGTTAATGAAGTGAAAGCTGTCTATCTTCAAGATTTTATGGAATGGTAAAATTTCTGGAAATTCCTAGCTGATGTCTGCCGAATTCTTCCAAGTATGTGCATATAATTGATTTTGGCTATCTTGATGAAACTTGAAACGCCTGTTCTCTGACACACTGAAAATGTTGGAATTGTAGGTGGACGGAATCGGCCCTCTCCACAGTGAAAAAATTCTGTTAAGGTGAAATTTTATATAAAAATAATTTTTATATATTATATAATATAATGCATTATTATATAACAATCTCGAGTTAAAAGAGAAGAAAGGCAAGAGAGCTTCGTGAAGAACTTTTTGTGATGAGTACTCATATTTTCTAGCGAAAAATCCTGCTCCATTGTGGTGTCTGAGAAATGCGGATATTGGTTGGACCGCGAGCAGCGAGGAGTCGTTTGAACTACTCCTGGATGCTTACTTACCATTCAACCATTCCGCTGAAGAAGTGCCATTGGGGCAGCTTCGAGAGGGCTGTACAGCCTTCTTAGTACTTTTGGATTAACGTCACCTCACCTGGGCGCTGAATTCATTATTAGCATAAGCCCTTGAAAATTTTGAACTGGAATTGAACGACAAATATCTCATATACGGCCTTTTCTGCGACAGAACAGTTGTTATGGTGTGGAGTAGTGTAAAGATATCCCGAAAAGTTTACTTGGGCACTCCGCTGGGTGGGGTACTTTCCCCACTACTTTGGATCTTGGTAGTTACCGACCTACTCAAAGAACTCGAGAAACGAAGTTGTCCAGTGACAGCCTACGCTGACGTCGTTGTTAAATGTTATATCGTATACTTCCTTATGGTTAAAGAAAAATTCCTAAATACCGTCTACAAGCTTATCGGAGGGTACCTTAACATGGTACCCAACTGGGCGAATAGAAGCAACTCAGCAGTCAACCCAAGTAAAACTGAAATGGTTTTAGTTACCAGCAAGTATTAGATCCCAGACGTGCCTCTTCCTTCATTCGGCAGCTCATGTCTTCAACCGGTTGAGGAGAGCGTAAGTATGGTATCGGTTGCAATATATTGCTGTAGAAGAGCTTTAAGTAAAAGGTGTGGACTTTCACCAAGGGCGGTGTTTAGGTTTTACGAAACAGTCAAGCCAATAATGTTCTATGATGTCCGAGTATTCGTCTTTTAGTGGACACTCGATAGCCTTTTCACTCACAGAGAGCGGATCTCATATGCATCTCTAGGGCACTGCAAACTACACTAAAAATAGCACTTAATGCCATTTAACACATAGCACCCATAGTGCTTTGGGGTGTGCCATCTTATGATCAACAAGTAAGGAAGGACTAAGTTCGGGCCTAACCGAATAGTTCATACGGGTTTTTATCCAAATGTGGGCGGTGCCACGCCCATCGTCAAATTTTGACAGCGGCTGCCAAAAAGCCCTGTCCTATGGTCTCGAGGATAAAATTTTCTGCTTCTGACGGATTTATTTATTGATTTATCACGGATTTAATCATTTTTAACAGAACCGTTATATGGGGAGTAGCGAGGCTTATCATCCAATTTCAGCTATTTTTACTGTGCTGTTAGAGGTGCTTAGATTTATTTTCTGATTTAAATAGCTTGAATGATTTAGGTGATATGTACGTTTAACCTCTTAGGTTAAACCATTTTTTTCAAACCATTTGGCGCACTGGTGCCCTTTGCTATTGTAATGCCCTGTGCCCATTTACTGTTTCATATTTTCATTAAGCGCTTAGTTAAGGCACTTTACAGGTTTTCTTTAAATGGCGCTTTGGGGGCGTAGCAGTGGTTCTGTTATGCTCATCTACTAACTCGTGCTCGTTTTTTTTTTTGTTAAGAAACTCGTGTACTTAGTTTCATTACGATATCTCAATTCTTATTCAAGTCATAGCTTGCAAGGACGAACGGACGGAGACATTGTCATCCGGATTTCTTAAATTTAATTC